TGCTAATGTTCTGATTCGACGATATTGAAATGATACTCTGCATGTATACTGTGCCTGTGAGAAATGGGACTTTAAAATTAAGAAAGTTAATCTCGATATTTGCTTCCTTACTGAATGCAAGCTCCGACACGTCATTCCTAAGTTCCTCCATTTTAAATTATCAAATTGAAATCTACAAAATTGGTTTCACTTGTTTTAGAATTTTGCACAAAGCTAAACGAGGACTATCTGTGCTAGCCGTCCCTAATTTAGCAGTGAAAGACTAGAGATAAGGCAGCTAGTCATTACCACCCACCAACAGCTCTTGGGCTACTCTTTTACCAACAAATAGTGGGATGGATCATCACATTATAAAACCCACATGGCTGAGAGGGCGAGCATGTTTGGTGGGATGAAGATTTGAATCTGAGACCCTCAGATTGTGAGTCAAGCTCCCTAACCACTTGGCCATGCCAGACCCATAAATAAATAAATACACGTTTCTCTAAGTATTATCACATTAGCTGCCACCAGTGGTATTAATAGTTTCTACCCTAATGACAAACATATTTTCCTTTTTCACTTAACCCAGGTGTCTAATATTTATATGAGTAACTATACTAAGTTTAATTAGCTCATTGAAGCCACTTGTAATATGTGTCCCACCAGTGTGTAACACAATTCATAACTAAAAGTCGGTTGTTAACCACTGATGGGGCACCTGGCAGTGAACATGTTATCAGTTTTATTTTTCTTTGTAGCAAACCTGTGACTGTTATAGTGCGACTTCTTCAGGCTTACATGATACTTTCAATTTATAACATATAACTATAGAACACAAGGTGTTAAATAGGTACCTGGATTTGTCTAATAATGTTGTTGTAACATTGTAAAATACAGATGCCAATGTTTAGTGATGGATTAAAAATGTGAAAATGTAAATGATAATGATACATGTATGTACATTTATACAACACACATACTTACATATATATATACACACAAGTAAATACCAGAGTTAAATTATCAGGCAATTTTATAGTCAAATGTAACAACACGAGGAATATGAAATAGTTCAAATCTACAAAAAATAGGCAGTTTTCTTTGTCATTAAAGACAATATTAATCATAATGCAATCATATTATATCAATGGTTGCAAAAAAAAGAGAGAAAAAGAGAATATCACACACCAAAACAAAATATATCAATAATGTTTCCAGTCATAAGAAGTCAAATCCTAAAGAATTAAATTTATGATTCCCCCCACCTCTGTTCCTGTCTTGATTGGTCTGATGTCGAATCATACGATCCTCTATGCACTGGTTCTTGAAGCAGTTTTTTACATGTTGAAAAATGTGGATTTGATTCCACAAAATGTTTTGTGTTATGTTCAAGGATGGAAAATAAATAAATAAATCACCTTTATGTTTTCCTACTTTGTCTGTGCTGAGTAAACAAGTTTCTTGATATAGGGTCTTATTATTTCTGCAAGTAAGATATAAAACAGCTTCCTCCCCCCCTTTTTTTTTATAAATAAGACAGTTGTCTTTATTTTTGTCAGTATCTTTTGTACTGATATTCGAGACTTAATGTCAACTTTATTGCCATAGTTAATATAAAAAATTCATTATCTACTAGAATATACAGATAAATTGATTTCTAAGAATACTTTTCAGTGTTAATTTGCCTAAATGCTGACTGGAATAAACCTATTTCAACAGTAGCACCTATTCATCAAAACAAAGCCATTTTATGCTGTTGTGAGTTCCAACAGAAACAGTTAGAGATCAGACAAACAGTTTTCCAAATGACAAAATAGAAAGTTGTTTGTGATGTTAAAAGGAATTGTCATTTTTACATTTCACTATTACAACACTTCAATATATAGGACATATGTAAACACATATTATATTAAAGCTCACAAGAAGGTGGATGTCTCAAGTCCATCCCGAAAATGAATCCTCAATTATTAAAGTACTAAATACAGTTGTTTATCATTCTTTCAGCTGAAACTGAGACAACTATCACTCACATGTTCAAAAATTACAAGAAAAATAAAATATATGCAATTAGTTACCAGTTGTACAAACAAATTATGTTAAGCCACTACTAATGTCACGCTACAGTATCTGGTACCATGTGTTCAAGTAAATGAGAGTAGTTAGAGAAAAATAGAGTTAATGTAAGTTAAATAAGTAGAACAATGTTCCATTTCAGTTTAACAAAATGTATACATACATAGCTATCTACCATTTTATGTTGTTCTTCAAATTACCTCCATCACTGAGTTTTGTATACATAAATATTTTATTAACTCTTTCGCAATGAGTACCCCCTATAAACACTTTTCTTCGCAAGTGACCATATTACATTCAAAATTTAATTAACCCTATTGCGACTGACATCCTTTACTGTGCCTGTCACAAGGTTTTAGTGACTAACATTCAAAATTTTATTAATCTACTTTTTGTTTATGTTATTCCAATTAGTATAGCATAAAATCTTAGCTAATAATCCATATTTTAATAGTATACAAGTTTTAAGTTCTTCATTTTATAAAGCAATATTTTAAAAAATCCTGAATTTCCCCTAGTGTGATAAATGACACATTTTCTCTAGGTACATTCTCTTCTATATTTTGTCCACCACTTCTCCAATAAGTACAAAATTAAATGTAAATTACGTACTATAAAAATCGTTATTGCTCAGACAAACCGTAATTTTTATAGCCTTCAATTTTGTTTGGTCACAGAGCTATCAAGTAGAAAATCAGACTCCTCTTGCCAAATCCACCTGTCACATCCTCTCTTTCAGAATTTAATACTTCTCTCTTACGTGTAATTCTGTATTATTCATAACCAATAGAAAGCCAAAGTTTTCATCTATCAAATGACACATCATATCGTATAACATTGCTTTCTGAACAGAAAATTATAAATTTCACTTTCAGTACAAGCTTTGTTCCCATGGGAAAAATAACAACTAGCTTGGATGAATTTGTAACGGCTATTGTCGCATAGTTAGAAAGCCAAAAAAATTGTGAGAGTTAGGGAAATTGTCTACTTTTTTCATGTTATTATTATAGGTTCTTTGGTGCATTATTTAATTATATAAAAATTATTTAGTGCATTACTACCATTAGTATGATTAGGGTTAAGTGTCATTGACAATTGACAGCAAGAACAAAGAAGATTCAGGTAATTACTTTATTTCATGATTATTCTTTATTTATTATTATAAAAGTGACTAAAATGCAAAAATAGGGATATCTTTAGGTTAGTTAAGGTTAGCTTAGGCAAAATAATAAAAATGTTTTATGAGCCACGCATGAGAGCAGTTCTTGAGTAACGTAATTCGATAATGTAACGTGAGCTCCACATTCCCCAAGTGATGTACAATTTATAATGGTGCAAATAGTAGTTAGACACGATTCAAAGGGTAATAAAACAATAAAAATTAATTATAAATAATTGTATATTGTTACGAGTTTAAAGCTACTTAGGATAAATGAATGTGGTTTCAAGTTACAATTTGAAGTCATTCTAGATAGAAAAAAAGGTTAATTAAGATCTATTACATTTTTTTTTTTTGGTGGTTATCAAGTTAGTTGGTTGGTTGTTTGGCATTTTCGGTGCAAAGCAACTAGGCTATCTGCACCAAACAACCAGACGAGGTCAGTCAAATTGACCAATGTTGTATAAAGTTAGGGTAGCGAAAATAACAGATAAAATATGAAGTTTTAGTCGAAATCAAACATTTGAAATGTATTTAGGAGGATTTAGAGAATACACAAATCAAATCTGAGGTTTCTGAGATGAAGAAAAGTATTTTTATTCTTAATATGAAAATCACCTTGCGCACAGAATATTCAAAACAAATAACTGATACATTCACGAACAAATCTTTAGTAAAAATGTTTCATTAAAAAAACAACTGATTTTTTGTGTACAAAATACTTTAATGCGTAGTAAACGTCTACCAAATTTTGTGAGGATACATACACTGTATTAAAAGTTATAGTATTAAAACTATATACAAGTAAAAATGGTTGGTCCCTGGGACGACCCCGTATTGAGAGAGTTAACCACAGGTGCCCCTTTAAATCTTTTCCTGCACAAGTCACCATGTTATGTTCAAAATTTTATTAAACACCTTTACTATATATGTAACATCTACATGTAGACTACAAAGCTCAAACAAATCTGTTGAAGGTGGTCATGGCACCTGTCAGAGAACTTTGAAATGCACAAGTCAAAAGGTTATGTAAGCATCTTAGAGTCTAGATGTACCTCTATGCAATTGCTTTTGTATTATTGAAGATACAGAATGCCAAACTAGAGAATTTTCGTAGCTTGTTGGTCATGTGACAGTACAACTGAAATTTTAAGAAGTTTTAAAAAGTTTCTGTTGAAATATACGACTTAAAATATAAATAACATAAAACCTTGAATTATGACATACATTGTAATTTTAATTTAATTAACATAAATTGACATATGTATACTCATTAGAATGAGCTCATTTTATACTATACTCAAGAGAGCATAATAAAACATTAAAAATTAACTACATGTTAAAAGGAAAATACCTAAAATTACGAATTTAACCAAAGGAAAATCTCTAAAGATATTCTACAGAAAATTAAAAGGTATGTAGAGTTAGTGATATGGTAGAGAAAATGAAAAATAAAATATAAACATTTACCTTAAAAAACTTTTGATATTCATTTAGGAAGTTCTAGAGATTATGCAAATGAAATATGAAAACTATAAGGTGAAGAAAAGTATTTTAATACTTAAAATGAAAATCCCTATGCACTCGATTAATTAAGAGTTTGATTGCAAGTAGCTACAATAGATAAATAAAATATTTTTGATAAAAACACTTAATTAAAATAATGTTATTCTTTGTTATTCTTATGATCTTTAAAAATTCTTACCAGTTTATGAGAAGATACGTTAAGAAATTTCAGAGTTAGCGAATGTATTGTTACACAAGTGAAATTCATGACACCTTTTATGCAAGTTACATGAGGGTTGATTGTTTTAGTAGTGAAGCATTTCCTTAAAAAACCAATTCCAAATGTATAATTACAAATACTACTCTTTTCTATGCTTACCTATAACAGGTTTATGAGTACTTTGGAAATTTTCAAAAGGATTCCCATGCTCTTCTTGCAATGGAATAGAAGACAATGAACTAGCATGAGCATTTAACATTGGGCGTGGTGGCAAAGTGGGAGCACCACAGGAACGAACAGTGGCTATACAGTCCTTGTGTACACCTATACCACATGCTGAACAAAAATATGTAAATATATAAAATTAAACATAGGCACAAAACACAATAATCCTCTTAACAATTTGAGGTATCTTAAATCAAAATCAAATATATTACAATTTTTTTTTCAAGTTCAGGATACTAAATCTACTCAACAACTCTAGTTATGAGTTAATATTCAGGCATCTAAATATCCAAAATTGTGCTAATACAAGAACCATAAATGTATGAAAATATTTAGTTACATCAAATACTATTTGAGGGCAGAAGAAGAATATAAATTTTACGCAAGCAGCCAGTCAAAGCTAAAGAACCCTGCCAGATACATTATCTAATGATCTATGACATAATAGTTTGCAGGTGAAATCATAGAAAAAATACATAATTATACATACAATTATATTACCACATAATTCAAATCAGAAAGTTCAAACAAATAAACAAACAGTGATTTCAATACCTTTCAATAACATTTCTTCTTTTTTTCCTGTTGCTTGCTTTTAAATCATTTCAGGTTCTATTGTTGTTTTCTTAGTGTAAAACTACAGAAATGGCTATTTGCATTCTGTCCAGAGTAGGGAATCAAACCCTGGATTTTAGCCAACTCACCATGGGACTTCTAGGTCATACACAGAAGACACACAGAGTGCTTTACACTAAAGACTTTTTAAAATTTTTTGGGGAATCTGTTTCAGATCAAAGCTACATAGGGCTATCTGCTGTATCCACCATGGAGAAATGAACCAGAGATTTTAATATTGTAAGTCAGCATTTCCAAAATTGGGTTCCATACGATATATCCAGAGGTTCCGGAGAAACTTTTGTATAGTGTAATCAGAATAAAGAAGCAGGACAGGTATAAGTATGACTTAGAAGCTTGTCAACCTATAAATCGTCCACCCTGTATTCCTTTTGTCTTTGGCTATTTCATTTACTGTAAGTTAGTCTTGAGTTTGTGAATATTTCATAAGATTACAAAATTACAGTGATTTCAAGTATTGATTGTACTTAGCCATGGATCAGTGGCTAAAAAAAGGAACTTTAGAGCAAAAAAACAATCTGATACGATGACTGTGGCTCAAAGCGGATCCAATGCAGCACTTTACTGCCGAAAAATTGGAAAATGATCTTTCAAAATGAAGCAACTCCCACTCAAGTCAACTGAATTAGCAGCAAGCAATAAGAAATGCAAGTACAATGAGAGCTATTTCTCTTATGGATTTACATGCAATGGAAATAAAGATTCCGCTGTGGCACAATGCTTAATTTTTTAAAGGTTCCGTCAATAGTTTTAGAGCTCAAAAGTGTTCTGTGGCTGAAAACATTTTAAAAATGCTGTTCTAAGTCCATAAACATACCACTGTCCAAACAGGGGACTTTTATAGAATTAATTTGTTTCAATTAAAAAAAATCACTTACTTGCACATTTATATCCTTGGTAAAAAATACCCCTGGAAAAGTGAAACCTCTCATAAATTATCAAATTTTTCCTTAAAAATCATATACTTTTACACACAATAATAAAAATGTAATATTTGCACGAATGTCCTCTGTTCTTTTTTTTAAGAATACATTAAACATCCTGTTTAAAACTTTCTATAAAGTGAACATAAATTCATAGATACTTTTATTCATTGGAAAACTAAACTGAAAAACTAACATGTAAAAGTATATAAAGAAACATGTAACACTTTCTTAATTTGATATTTTTTTCTATACTAACTTATAAGTGCATTAGAATGCCTACAAATGTTATCATAGTTCTGACCACTTTGCTTAAGAATGTATACACAGGTTCCAAGAGTTCTAACTTGTATTGTGAGCAAACCTGAATTATAACTGTATTCAGTGAATAAAAGTCCTAAAATACACTCAAATTGTGTTTTGTTTTTAATTTTAATGCAACTTGTTGTTGTAATAGAAAGAAACTAAAATATATACTCAATGTTTCAATGAGTATGTATGTTTAGACCAAAGCCTGAATTATAAGTTGTTTAATTTGTGTCTATATTATTTTAATCTAAGTTACTTCATACTGAATCTGCAATACAGTTTTAATAAATAATATTATGAAAATAAATTTATTAATTTAAGGAAGAACGTCATGCTTTAACTGACTCATTCATGATAATTTAATGACCATCAAGACAAAAATGTACGATAAATTCCCTAAAAATGTTAACAAAAAGACTTTAATGTTCCCAAAATTCATAACTATTTACTTTATGAATTCAATACAAAATGATTTCAGTACTGTCTATATAATCACAAGTTATAGTCATGCATCGTACCTAAGGAGTTTTCCACAATCCATGCAATTTGATGGTTTATCGAATGTAAACATGTTGAACTTGTGATCTGTGAGTCTTGTGGCAGCTGGTGAGTCATTATCACTGAGTAAAAGAAGAAAATCGATCAAAAATTCTACAGTAGATGTAATAAAAAAAATAAACTTACTGAATGCATTCGAAACATTAAAATCCAGCATTCTGTTTTACTACACTTTTCTGCATGAAGATGAAAGTCTCACAAACACACAACACAACATAAAGACACTGTGATACATACAAAAAACCTCACACAAAAGGTTATGTTGGTCTTTTGCCTCAAAACAACCACATTATTACAGTCTACTAAATTTGGTAAAATTCTCTGGTGAAGTCAGTAGTTTTATTTATAAAAGAAATGTCTACTTCTATGCTGACATTTAAATCTTGTACATGTATGCTAAACTAAGTGCCTGAGTTTTAAAGATACAGTAGTTCTTACTTATAAGTCAAAGGTATTCTTTTTTTGTTTTTTGAAGCAAATGTAGTTGAACTATTTGAGTACATTAAGAATTACAAAATGTGACTTAGCTATTATATACATAATTTTAATTCCATGGTGTTTACTAGGCTCAAACACATCTTAGAATCACTGGAGTTTCATTCTCATGAGTGTAAAAAAAAGTAGCCTAATGCATGTTTTATACGTTTGATTAAGTTCCATCTATCCAATCTTGAGATATCCTGTCTACAAGATCAGGATGGACAGACAAGCAGGGGCAAATCAATGTCTTTCTAGGTGATGCTTTGCAGTGAGGGCATAGAAATGGCCATGAAAGAAATTTTATTTTGAATCTTTTCAACATTTCATAAAAATTTATGTTGTACTTGCTTTGTTTCTTTGTGTTTGATGGCAATGATATCTTATCAAACATATATTCTTTTTTCTTATCAACCTCACCCAAGTTACAGCAACAATGGGCAAAATCTCACAGAATGTGAACAGTGCTGCCCAATTATCAAACTGAAAAATATAAGCACAACATGTGAACTAATTATTTTTGATAGAAGATGACTGTTTGTTTTCTTTAGTGCAATGCTACACAATGGGCTATCTATGCTCTGTCCACCATGGGGAATCAAACTCCAGCTGTTAAGGTTGTAATTCAATAATCTTACCAAATATTTTTTGTATTAAACATTACTGATACTTGAGACAAATCACTCACAATCCAGAAAGTAACTTTCAAAATTAGCTGCATACAAGGGAATAATGTAGACTTAACATTTAAATAGTTGTTTACAGATACAGATAACAACTCATAGTAGTTTGATTACTTCTTTTTCTCACATTTAATTCAATTATTTTAAATGTAGTATTGATAATTTACTAATTATTCAACAGTGATGTTAATCACTTTATTTATTTTTTATATAAATAAATATTCATGTTTTTGCTGTGCTATCTGTACCATACCTCTACTCATTCTATAGCTAAGTAGAAGCATGTTTGTAGTAATTTATCTCAGATGTTAAGCTACATAACGTTACACCACTGAAGCTGATTAATGTTCTTTCACTTGCTCATGTAATAAATTAAAAACAGTGGCACCCTGCCTACCTCTTCCAATTTTTGGAAACACTCCCTTATATACACTTATTTCTATATATGACATGAATAACCAATCAGAAGCTCAGAATGTCCTGCTAATGGCTTTCTCAGCCGTTTTAATGTATTAATTTCTACCAATTTAATTTATAAAAGCTACTACTACACAACATGAGACTGTTCGGGACTTTGCTACCCCTCACTAACCAGGGTTAAGTTTTTAATAATAAGGTTTCTCAAGTTTTTTAGTTATACACTGTGTTCTAAACTTTGCAGAAAAACAATTCCAATGTTTCTAGTTAACTCCACACAGTGGTATAATGGCTTTTTTGAATAATGAGAACCATTCAGTGATGACACTGAATGCAACATGAAAAATTTTCTCAATATAAACCAGTTATGTCAAAAATGCTCAATGATTTCATGATAGGATAATACCGTAGCATGTATTGTTGGGAAGGTCCTTTTGGATTACTTGGTAAAAACATTAACAAGTCCAGTCCACATAATGAAAATGAATTAATTTATTTCTTTAATTAAAACTTGTCACATTCTATGTTCACCAGTAGACCTAACTTCATAAACAACATTTCGAAAGAAACTCTAAAACTAATATGTGCTTAACTTAGCAATGGATTCATGATGGGAGAAAAAGAAGTCTAATAACAAAGATGAACATGGCTGACTAGACACAAAACATGATTATTTACAAAAGATTTGAAACATTCAAATTTTTTGTAAATAAAAATGCTTTCAGTCTTATAAACCATCTTCATCTTTATTATTATACCTAACTTAATTATAAACTTACAGAATTTCCTCACTAGTAGATCAATAAATACAATGACTAATTCAATGACCTGCAGATGAATTGACGTAATAACTCTCACTGAATAACTCACTAATTCATACTGAACTTAATCACTCACTGATTACCCATTACTTATTAACTAAAAAATTTTCTGAGTCTGGTATTTGTATTATACTCATATTTCTACATCCTACACAATACTTCTACATTCTATAGATGCCTTAGCTTTCATGAAATATTTTACACATAGCCTACAACAATACTATTTTTTCTGCAAACAGAATAGCCAAGAAAAGCTACATTTAATAAAATCTTCTGAAGAGTTAATAATTGTCTTACAAACTACTGAATATTTAGAATTGGCATGGAATATTCTAGTGTAGATTAATATTTGGCTCAAGAACAAAATAAAATTTCATGAGATTATCTTAAAAGAATATTAGTACATGCATTTCATTAAAAAAATGTTTCACTCAAATAACTGATTTTTAACAATATGAAATAAAAATAACATGAAACAGCTGTTAAACTGCACACCAAAGAAAAAGGAAACAAAGAATCTTACAGAGCCTTTTCAATTGCACTTATCCATTTCCTCTTCATCTCTTCAGTCTTTGAATACATGGTATATGCAGTTTTATTTTGTCGATGTACTAGATACCAGTAGTAACTCCACTAAACAAGAGTAAAAAGAACATGTAAGAGTAAGTGAAGTTTAATAACTTGAATGCTGCACAAATATACACACACAAAACTCAATCTTTTAGGGGGAATACCATTATTAACACTTTGCATAACAAAATCATACACTTTCAGCATATCTATTCATCTCAGCTTTGTCATTTCTCAAGATTTTGGTCACAAAGAAATACGTGAAACAAATCTGGAACATTTCGTTACAGACAGCTTGTGCCATGGACTTTTTGTTACAAAAAAACACTGCATTATGGCATCCAAGTTACTGTCACATTGTTACAAAAGGTTTCATTACAAGTTTTTTTTGTGATTGGTGAATTTTATTACTAGATTCAGGACTAAATCATTTTCACTGTAACTTATGTTTTATGTAACATTGTTCATGACATCCCCTACCAATGTAACACATTGTAATACAGGCTTAGACACCTTCTCATCCCCATAGCATTATGTAATTTTTGAATGGTTCCCAAATGATTGTACAATTTATGATCTATTATCATTTTATATTTAAAAAAACAACCTGTCACAAAATGATGTAACAAGAATGCATCCATCACAAGTTGTCCTAGTAACAATGTGGTTGTAACGAAATGTCCAGTAACTAAATGTTTGGATCCCTTTGAAATATTAGTTTTCTTATGGTCTGAGCAACAAGTAATACAAGAAGCATAATTTCATAAGTTGGCAAATCATCATAGTATTAAAGAATATTTTTTTTTTTACAGAGAGTACCTCTTTTATAAGCCTGTCTTCTACAATGATACAGTAAGTGAAACCTTCACACACACAAAGAGAGTAAACAAGGGCACCTTTTGACTGACAGTAAATTAACAAATATCACACACACACAGAATATAAACATTAAAAACCTATTAAAAACATCAGAATTAGTTAAAAGTTTCAGCAACAATTTTCTTAATATATTTCATACCATTAACAAGAATAAACTGTCAATCATACAGATGCACACTTTTTGCAAGACAGAAAACATGAACCTACCTTAAACTGCATTTATGTTTAAACAATTGTAAGTTGTTCATATAACTTCTGTAACTTAATTACACAGCAAAGCACAGGTCTCATCTCTATATGGATGACCTGAATACAATGTGACTATAAAAGTTAACCTAAATTTTGAATGATATTTCTATATGCATATATAGCAAATAAGATTCAAGAAAAAAAGTAGAAAATGCACTAAAAGTGATGAAAAGGGAATCCATTTTAATATGTAACAAAAAATGCAAAAGAACTCTACTGGACAATAACAGCAAATGATAATCATGATGTTATGATGATCAAGTTACTATTATAAAGGAGGTATGTCTGCCTTTCTAAAAAAAACCTAGGCAGTGGAAATTAATTCCCAAGGAACAAATCTGCATAGCCAATGTCTGTAGAACTAAGGTAAACAGTGGCTATGTGAAAGTGATGTGTATTAAACTAGTAAACCACAATTCGCACTGAATGACAACTTTCTAAATGTAAAGACAGACAATGTGATCCAGGTAAAGAATGACATACAATTATTGAAGACCCTTCTAACAAGGTAAGGATTTTGAAATCATTCAGAAAACTATAATGAAAGGCCAGAACCTCATCCTTTAACTCCTTTTTTTTGATTGAAAGGCTGAGAACACCTGATCTATCAGGAAAGTTCAAGAACCAAAGCACATATATAAACTAGAAGTCTCGTAAAATTGTAACTACAGGTAAACAACACATTTAACCATAGTGATGTATCTGAAAACAGAATAGAGGATCAAAACACATCAGAAATTGTCAAAAATGAGACTAAATGACTTGTTCCACAAGAGAGGCTTGTCAAGCAAATTAAGACTCACAATATAACCATGCCTGGCATGAGAATAATCTAACAAAAACAAGATGAGAACATTTAAAGTGATAACTCGAAAGTTACATAATGAAAAACAGCAGACATCAATGCACAAAGAGAAAAATAATGATGAGAATACTCAGAGAAAACTTTGCAATAAGATATTTAAGTAGAGAAGGTGGGCATGGCACCTATCAGGGGTTGACAAAATTTATTACTTGTTTTTACTGCATTCAGTAAGAAAACTTTGAAAGTTATATCTCTATAGGGAAACCAAATGTACTTATTGTCTATATATATCTATATCTACATGACTGGAGATATCTTAAACAAGACTGAGTGTGTGAAAGTTGAGATTTTTCATAGCTTGTGAGTCACGTGACAACAAAACCCAAAGTTTTAAGTATTTTTTTAAAGGTTTCTTTTGAAATAAAGCAATTAAAACTTTGAATCATAAATTAAATTATAATGTTAATTTCGTTCACATACATTTATAGTAAAGGTGTTTAATTAAATTTTGAATGTAACTCAGTGACTTGAGCAGAAAAATGTTTAAAGGTGTACCCCCGAGAGGAAGAGTAAATATATTCATCTCATAAACAAAAAACACCAACATTACCTTGTCTTTACTCCCACAGCGAGTCATGGTTACATCTTCTACCTTGTAATCACGAAGGACTAGAGCTTCTTTATAGCTGTACTGTTCACCCTGAAGTAAACATAATAACATTTCTTCAACAGACAGATTATTAAAAAGAAATACGTTTAATAAATGTGACAGGAAATATAAAATTTTAATTCAAAAACACACACTTAGCCAAGCAGCTGTTCACAATTTTTGCATTAAATTATATATTTATATAAAGGTTATTTCCTCTCATTCTTTTGGATTTTCTTATAACCATCATGTTAGTTTAAGTGATTTTTCTAAAGTAACAAAATTTAATAAAGTTCTTTAGTAGTAAAGCTGTGTTTAGCAAAATATCCTAGCTTACAGAAAGATAATGAATTGCAAATGCACTAATATAACTAGGTATTAAAATGACTATAAGTCATAATAATCTTCATGTGATTCTATATCACATTTTAATCAATCCTTGTCTAATCTTGTAACTACCATGAAACTATACACTCTATAATTCTGAATTTACTTAGTGTACCTTCAAAGTTTGGGTAGCTAATAGTAAACATTATAAGAATGCTGCACAGAAAATATAATGCTTTTTTGAATAAAAATATTTTTACTAAGAATTTGTCTCTGAACTTATGAAACCTTTATTGAGTCAGTCTGAGTAAAAGATGATTTCCAAGTTAAGGATAAAAAATACTTCTTTCCATCTTACAGTTTCTTACTTCATTTGCATAACCTCTACAATCTCTTAATTAAATATCAAGTTCTTTTCTAGATAAAACTTTAATATTTAACCTATCATTTTCCATATCCTAACACTAAATTTAGCAAAATCATCTGTAGCAGAAAATGAAAAATATGAAACAAAAATTATTTTTTTTCTACAATGACTGCAGATTGTAAGACAATTACAATTTTTTATCCTAAACTGCCTCATGTTTCTAACAGTTTTACATCTGCTTTCATTTAATTTTATTGTTTTACTGTTCTTTGAGCTTTGCTTAACTAGTGTTACAAGGCAATGTCACCTTACAAGAGCTTATATAACAGCAGCTCACGTACAGAGACATCTCAAAAGTAAATAGACACCATGATTTTTTTCAACAGTCATTTATCTCACATTATCAACTTGACAAAAATGTTTACAAATGTGCATCAGTACTTAGTCAATTTGCCACTTGCATTTTTCAGTGCCATGACTCACTCTGGCATAGAATCGATAAGTTCTGCAATTTTCGCCTGTAGGATCTTGACCCTAGGCTGCACGAAAAACATCAAGTAGCTCTCCATGGAATGCTGGTTTTCTGGAACTTCTTCTCACTGCTCGAGCAAGTATGGCCCAGACATGCTCGATGGGGGTTCATATTAGGTGACTGACTTGGCCATGGGAGCCGTTGGATGCCTTTCTTAATTAAATGACTATTGAATAAACATCATGGTGTCTATTTAATTTGGAGATGTCTCTGTACATTCCTTAAGAAAAAATTGTATTCAGTTTTTCATATCTAGCTTAAGTTTTTAATTTTTACATTTTAGTTACTTTTGTTGAGAAGTATTTTCTTTGTTGTTAAGCGCAAAGCTACACAATGGACTATTTGTGCTGTTTTTAGCATCATAAGCTTTCAGACTTATTACTTTATACTCCAACTTGTCAATATCTAAAGTGTGTGTTTGTAGCTGGTTGAACAATCTGAAGTTGTTACAGAGGAGAAAAATATATATATATCAGGAGGCAGAACACTAATGCTTCATCTGATGCAAGAGATGCAGATTCAGAATTCATTTAAATATTTCATTTTGATATTATGAAATTAAAACTTAGAAAACATAAAAATCTTAATTATATTTTGATACCAAGTTTATTAACATAAATTCATAATAGAGTAGTTCAATGAACTTTTGAATTTAAAAAAAATCATGACATGGAAACTTTGACCCTCCTTTATCTATATGGTTAAACAGAATAAAACAAACTACAAATCTGAAACTTTTCTCTAGGTTTTCCTGGGGTTTGCTTCACATTTCTGAGCCCGTCAACATCCATTTTGCAGTTGTAATGTAATTTCATAAGTTTAATTAAATTACAAAACTTTACTTTTTCTTTCCATCAGCATTTGTAACAGCATAATGCTAATAAAACTTCTATATCCTTTTCTTCCACCTATCCAGCATTACTAACTAAACTCTCAATATTTGCTAGAATAATTAATTTTAGGGGTATTTTCTTAATTTAGGTTTTACTATCTGCATTAGATTAATTGGCTTTTGACTTTACTCTTTCTCTTCAATAACTTTTTAAGTTATTTTAACAATAACTGAGATTGTCACTTTCACAATCATCAGATGTGTTTCCAATACCCATTTGTTTTTTACAGCCTATAATTATAGACTCAATATTACAGATAGGTTAATTTTTGTAATAATGAAAAACATTTGTACTAATTTTATACATTCTGTCCCTTTGTTCACTCTCATCTGATCCAGTACTATTCCGAGCTGAAGATCTTCCTGTATGTGATTATGTCATCCAAGTAAATGAGAGTGATATTCTAGGGTTGTCCAAACAGAACACATCCCTTTGTTCACTCTCATCTGATCCAGTACTATTCCGAGCTGAAGATCTTCCTGTATGTGATTATGTCATCCAAGTAAATGAGTGTGATATTCTAGGGTAGTCCAAACAGAACACATTCCACTACTGATTTCATGTAGCAGGTCCATTACATAACCCAAATGGCAATACAACAAACTTCCATAACCCATTTCCTGCAGTAACAGTTGCCATTTCTTAACTTGCACTTGTCATTATCCATTCTTCAGATCATTCTGAACCAGATAAAGCAACCAAACTAGAGTCAATTCTTGGGAGTGGGTAACTTCTTTATGACTTCATTCACCTTCTAGTAGTCCATACAGAACCTTGTGGATCCATCATTCTTTTTCAAATGTACAACAGGTGATCCCCAAGGACTATTACTCAGTTCTGTTTCTCCTTTTTCCTTTATAGCTTCTACTTCTTTGAGCCTCAACCTGTTTTACAACTGTGAATCATCTGGTCAACTGACCTAATAAGGCTACATCTCCAGCATCAGTCTTATAAAATATATGTGCACTCTAAGATGAGGTCCACTGGAGGGGGTATAGTCATATAATCTGTGGCATTGATCAGTTGTAAAACTTCCACAGCTCTGGTCATACAGCTGTTGTAAGTGAGATAGTAAGCTCCCCTTATTTGAATTTGTACATTTTGTTTCGAAGGTGATAAATTATAACGTGGAACTACTAGTTCTATATTTTCACATCTTGCAAATTTCTGTTCAGGACTAACTCAGCTTTTGTAATTTTGTGCTCCTGATCCAAAGATGACATCCTTATTCTTCAGATCCACCAGAGTTCTCCTAACCAATAATCCCTCAAGACAAGCTAGTGTTTAGTTCTTCCATACCCCAGTTTCTACTCCTAATATGCACTATTTTCTAATGTTAAATACCCACACATCATGTTATGTAAAGAAGCTTCCCACAGTGAGGTAGACTTAAAGCTTTCTTTTTTGCTGAAACTTTATGAACACTTGCTGTTTATACATCTTTTTGCTTCATCTTTGTAAACAATCTCCCAGTTTACATTATCAAATCAGGATGTACGGACATAGCATTAGAACCTGGGTCAATCAGCATACTACAATAAACTGAGCCATTGACTGGCTTCTTTCAGTAGCAGATATTGTTAGATCAAATAGTGTGGAAACATCCACTCCCTTTGATGGAAGTCCAGAGGAACTCTAAGAATTACTTAGCCAACTGTTTACTGAGAATGGAAGAATAAACCACAAGACAGAAGGTGTTTTATAAAAGCCTTTAAAGAATAAAATTTGCTTCCAAAGGATGACAGAAACAGGGCATTGTTAAGAATGTTGATTCCCTGGACAATACAAATCAGACTGTGACAAAACAGCTAGAATCTCACACTGACCTGGTGGAGGGACTGGTGTAACATTATCTAGATGATCACCCCACTTCAGAAAGTGTCCGAAAAAAAGCCCATTGGGTGGGTGAATAAAGAATAAGCAAAACACACCTGTTATTGTTATATTGCTCTTTGAACGGTGTCTAACTACTATTCGCACCATTATAAGTTGTAAATCACTCAGAGAACGTGCAGCTCATGTTACAACAATCAAATTACATTACCCACGAGCTGCTCACATGCGTGCTTTGTGAACCATTTTAATTATATTATTATTATTACTTATTTTACCTAATCTAGTGTTAAATAATTTAAAAAGATCCATATTTTTAGATTTTAGTTACTTTTATATTATTATTAAATAGAGAATACATATAAAAAACAGAAATAAAGTACTTACCCAATCTTTGTTTTTCTTGCTCTTGACTGTTGAGGACAGTTAAGCCTAATTATTTATAGTAATTATAGTAATATACTTAATAATTTGTATTTAATTAAACAATGCACCAAAGAATTCAGACTAATAACATGCAAAAAAAGAGACAAATTCACTTACCTCTCAAAATTTTCCTGGCTTTCTAACTATGTGACAAGAGCCACAAGATGGTTATAGGTAATATATAATGAAATGTAAGAGAGAACTATCAACGAATTGTGAAAGAGAAGATGTGACAGGTGGGTGTGGCAGGAGAGGTCTGATTTTCTATTCGATAGCTCTGTCACCAAACAAAATTGAAGGCTATAAAAATTATGGTTTGTTTAAGCAATCACAATTTTGTAGAGAGTATTTTACGTTTAATTTCATACTTTATTCGAGGGATGGTGGGTAAAATAGGGATGATGACATGCTAATAGAAAATGTGTCACGTGGATCACACTAGTGAAAATTCAGGATTTTTTTAAATATTGCCTTGTAGAATTAAGAACTTTAAACTTATATACTATTAAAATATGGATT